GAAAATGTGATAAAATGACTTTAAAGAAGCAAAAAGCATTTTCCAAGCTTTACTCCTGAAGAGTAAATGGAAGAAGTTTAGTCTAAAAGTGTTGCTGCTTTGCCTGGGAGGGAAAACAGCCTCCCAACTCTACTCCCTTTAGATAAGGGATACTTTGAGAAAACAAAGCGATAGACCTTTGCAGCTGTAGAAGAGGCCAATGTAGCCTAAATAGAAAAGAAGGTGGCCTCCTGCAATCAAGAGGGACAGATGGCAGTTGGAAGGCCCGGCAAAAGAGGAGAAGTACTATATACACAGAGTAGGTCTTGGCAGGAGCCAATTTGGAGCAGAAGTAATTAATTTTTTGAGAGCAGTAGATCAGATAACCTGCAACTCATTCTTTCTCAGACTGTCCTCCTGCCTGAGTGCTGATAGGAAATAATTCTATTCCTGCTTTTGAAAGCATACCAGGATTGCAATCTAATATAAACTACATACTTGACCCTCCTCTCTGAAATATGTTGCATACACATGCAGCTGAAGTGTAATCTCAGTGATCACTGAGAAGGAAGCTAGAATATTCCACTTGAGCTAATGGAAGTGAGACAGTTGTTACAAGAACAGAGAGAGTGTTCTTTAGCAATGGGGTGTTGCTGTCCCTCCTAACTTGTCAGTTAAAGGCAATTGCTGAATTACTCATCTAGGGTGGGGAAGGAATTTTAGGTTGTCCTTGTTCTTCATCGTGCTGTATTTTTCAGGAAAAAGACATCAGGGGTTTTTGGCTCATTATCACATGTTTCATTATCAGCAGAATGTTGATTCACAGTTGCTCAAAAATTGTGTCGCAATTTTTTATAATTTCTGAAGCTATTTTCTACAAGAAAAAATACTCGTTCCTTCAACAGTGTATAAATTGTTCTATTTTACTTTGCTCTGAAAGACTATGGATGAGTATGGTCATATATAGATTCTAAAAATTCCTGCAAGAATTACTGTCTCTCAAACAGTATGAGTTGTCTGAAGGGAAGTAGGGCATGGGAATAGTAGAGGGATTGTTTCTTACCTCTATTAAATGCTTTAATTCAGCAGAGACTTGATATGTAAAATCAGTACCACTTCCTTAATCTGGTATGTTGCCTGCATTATATAAGAGCAAATCAAAACGTGTCTTAGGACTGGCAGATGGATGTAAATCTTCACTGCATATGGAAACTAACTATAGCCACCTCTTGGGAGGAAGCTATTTTCTTGAAGTCAAGATGTGAAGCACGTTTGCACGAGTAGGCATGTCATTCTGCTAGGTGCGTATTGTGGTCTTGGATAACCGGAAAATCTGAATTACCAGGACGTGAAACCTAGCACCTACATACTTGAGGCTCTTGCATATTGCTCTAAGAAATACAGAGAAATGTTTAAATGTGGGCAACGTTGTTTAATAGTTGCTTGTTCTCAAGTCTATTTTTTCCCCTCTCTAGATGTGTATAGAAATGTTTAACTGAGGTTTTGTGTGCTTTTCGTAATAGAAACATGTATAAGACATGGTAGAGAAAGTGTTTTGTGTTAATCAACGAAAGTATTGTGCGTACACCACATTCCAGTAAAAACAGATCCAATCTTTGCATTCTGCAGACGCAGTACCCCTCTTCTTGAGACTACTTCATTCACCACACCAGAATGTTTGTGAGCAAGCTGTCTGGGCTCTCGGAAATATTATAGGTAACTCTTGTTGTTACAATGATTTGAATTCAGGGAGCGTTTCATTTTTAGAAGTTGACTTTTTGAACATTGGCATTATCATATGAGACTATGTTTCCTCTAAATTGTGTGGCTTAATATAATTTTCCATGTGGCCAGAATTACATATGTATGCCCTATTTTTTTTCTAAAGAATAGTATCACTTGCTACACAAAATATTAACAGGATAAATAAATTTTATGTCTCTTAAAATATACATACATATCTGTACGTATGTATATTTAATTGAACACAACCTTTTAGTAGTAGATTATTGGTGAGGAAACATAGAATTTCAGTATCCCAACATGTCATTGCATACATTTCAAGATTTTCCATTTTTAATGTAATTTCTTTTACAACAATTTTCATTTCTGTAGGTGATGGTCCTCAGTGTAGAGATTATGTCATATCACTGGGAGTTGTCAAACCTCTTCTGTCCTTCATCAATCCCTCCATTCCCATCACCTTCCTTCGGAACGTCACATGGGTCATTGTAAATCTCTGCAGGAATAAGGACCCTCCACCGCCTATGGAGACAGTTCAGGAGGTAAATAAAGAATTACGAGACAGATAATTTTTTATACTCTGGGCTAGAGGCCAAATGTTTTACATTGTCATACTATGAATTTATGCATGTGTTTTGCCACTGTCTTGTGCTACTTAACCAGTTGTTAAGTGAAGTAATTTGACCAATTTGATGCTTCTTACTAAGGCTGTAGTAAAGGTATTTATAACGTCTGAAACTGAGTAAGACTAAAGACTCATGAGCCATATATTAAAAGTAATGCAACAAAAACTTAACACACTAGAAAGTGTTGACATACTCAGCATTTCATGTTATTCAAATGCAATTATTTTCAGTAAGAGAAAATGTAATTAAACTAGTGAATGCAGCGTAGTTTGTGTTTTGACTAGCTGTGAACATTGCAGTCCATATCAAGTCCCCACTTGAGAAGAGAAGCATCTGAAAATCCTTTTAAACTGGTGAACAGAGCAAACACGGTCTTTATAGAGTAGGCACAGCTGGTAAAGTGATGCTGTTTGACTAGAACTGTAGTTGTTATGTATGTAAAGATAAATTCCAAAGTGTAGATACAGTTTTTGAAGCCACACAAAAAGAGTATAATAGTGTTAGCAACTAAGCCTTAATGGAATTTTTAAAATAAAGCAGAGAATGGGGAAGTTTTTACAAGTAATACTTGACCAAATAAAAACTCCTGTTTGAAACAGTCTTATCATAGCTCAGTTTCATAGTTTCTCCACCTGTGATACAAAAAATAAAATTCTACTTTGATCCAAGAGGGTTTTATATATTGATATTAGGCTAATTATTTTTATTATATTGTGCGGTAATAAAGCTTTCAAAATAGCTGAGGGGTGTCTTATCTCTGTTGTTTACTTGTTTTCCCTCAAAATACAGTCTGCTCTCTGTATGTCTTTGAAAAATAGTACTGTCTTCTGTATTTACAAGTTTTAAATACAATACATATATTTTTATACATACTTTGAGGAATGACCAGCTGCTGGGGAGTGTGTGAATGCAATATGCATTGTACTTGGATTCGTGATTGTACAGCCAATTTTATTCTGCTCTAATGACTGATGAACTTCTTTTCAGATTTTGCCAGCATTGTGTGTTCTCATTTACCATACAGATATAAACGTAAGTAATTTCTAAAGCTTTAGATATTTAGATTCTTTGTTTTCTCTGGAGAAAAAATGCTGCAAGATTGTGTTGAAGTGGCAAACTTTTTTGTGTGTATTAATTTAGGTATAGTTAAGTAGTAAATGCACAATTAAATACAAAGACTAATATAATTGTAGTCATTCAGAGCATGAAAAACAAAGTGCAAATACCATTTCTGAAATATTTTTTCTAATTTTTTTTAATCCTTTACATTAGAAACTGCATTTTAAAAATCCTATCTTGCAGAATTGAGCGCTAGAAATTTAAAGTGCCAGCTTTACCATCAGCTTCACTTCTACTCCAATTTATAATTTTGCAGAGATGATATGTAATGCATGTGTAGAAAAAGTATATATAATTCTACATATCGGTCCCATCAAGTATTGTGATCATATGGGTAAATCTGACTTTTGTAACCTGTTGGGTGCCTGACTTTACAACATGTTTTACTAAGGAAATCACGAAAATATACTTAAATAAGCAGCAATAAACTATTGCTTTGTGTCACGTCTTGACAACTTTCTTCAGGTTTTTAATACTAAACCTTCAGTACTTCCCACCTTCCTGATCCATGGGTTTACATACATTTTCCGAGTAAAGTCCGAGAGGGGTGGACTTACCTCCTGAAGTCTTGTATTGGGTCTTCAGGAACAAAGATCTGTGTAACTAAGGGGTACTGAGCTGCTCTCCTCCTCTTCCTGTCAGGACTTCGTAGTGTCTTTGACTCTTGCTCCTGATAGTGATCCTTCAATTTAGGGAAGCAGGAATTGAACCCTTGTGGCAGGTCTGGGGATAGATTGGTGGAGCTGTCTTGTGTTGATTCCACGCTGTGGTAGTGGTGTTTCTGCTGCTCTTTTAATGGTGAAGTGGGTTTGGCTCCACAAAATATTTGCAAACAGTTTAATCTGGGATTTTGCCAGGGTTTTCCCAGTGTAATGCGAGTGGGAGACAGCACATGGTGACTTTCCAATTCATAATTTGGACAAACCTAGATGGAAATTCATAGCAAAACCAAACATACTTCTAACCTGCAGGCTTTTTTTTCCCAGCCAAATTTGAAAGCTTTTGCAAGCAATGATTGTGTGAGAGCTTCTTGAATTAGATACGAGACTCTGTGATGCCAGGTTTTGACTGATTTCAATTAGGGTGCCTGTCTTTTTGATCCTGAGAGTCAGGTGCTAGTTTGGAGGTACCAGTCTGGTCCCAGCCTCTCTGTACTGGAGCAGCAAACGTATCTTTGGAGATGAGTCAGTGATGCAGGTAGGTCAGCCAACAGTCCTGTGAGTGCTTCTGGCGGCTACTGCTCTTGTCACCAACAGGGCTGCGGGGCAGCAGACTGGTGAGGCACCATCTCTCACTGCTTCTGCTGCAATACCAGCTCCACTGCAGCACATTCTGCTGTCCCTGTGGCATTAGCAGGTGAGGGCACAGCAGGCTGTGCCAAGAGAAAGCATTAGGTCTGTGCTGTCTGGTCCCTGGAGCTGGGTGGAAGCAGCTTGTAGGTCAGGACTTTAAAGTCCTTCCTATGTTTCAGTACTGTAGTATTTAGCTATCTTAACAGCTGGAAATTTTGAGTGGGTATCTGTTTAAAAGTAGAGTAGATCTAGGTACCTCAACAGATGATGCCCTCAGTGAGGTCCAGGTTTCTCTTCCTGCCGTTCCTAACATCATCTCTCAGTGATGTGATATCCCTCTTTCTGCTGGCTTTGTTTCTGCTTCAGATACTGTCTTTCAATGACTGTAACTTTTGTATTTTTTGTTTTGAGGGCTCTCAAATCATCCTTTTCAAGTCATCAGAGACTTAGTCTTTATTTTCTTTACAATACTAAGATTGCCTTGCATGATAGTCATTTGTCTGTGGGTTTTTGCTTTGCTTGAACAGTTGCCACCTTACAATAGTTGCTAGTCTTTTAGTTGATATAAGAACTCCCTTTCTTTGCTGTGGGTTTTAATCTTAATATCAAGGCAGAAAAAAGGCATGCATCCAGAATAGTTTGCAGTTTCCCTTCAGAAGTGCTCTATGGATCCGGAATGCTTAGAGACTAAGGGAACTTATATATTCTGTAATCAAAAGATAGCACAGCTAACTAATTACAGCAGTGCTAGGAGGCTGGGTCGGTATTTTCTTCAGAAAGTTACTAGCACAGCTGCTTACCTGAGCTGGTTGTCTTATCTTTGAAATGCAAATCAAGCCCAACAGTTTACCTTTGTGAGATGATGTATGCTGTCACTTTATGCACCAACATGTGGTATTTAATTTCAAAAAAAAAATTGAGAGAAGACATATAGAAATTATTATTATGGAACAAATGGCCCCAGTTTTCATAGTTGTACATAATAATCTAACATTTTACTAATTAGATCTCATCATAATGTTTGAGTTCCTGTAACTAAATTGCATGCTCTTTTTTTTTTCCTCCCAGACATGTGGAATGTTGATCACTAAATTAAACCTCTGTTGTATGGATATTACTGTTCAATGTGTAAACCATGTTCTTTCCCATTTGTAGATTCTTGTGGACACTGTGTGGGCTTTGTCCTACTTGACAGACGGTGGAAATGAACAGATACAAATGGTGATTGATTCAGGAGTTGTACCTTTTCTAGTTCCCCTTCTGAGTCATCAGGAGGTTAAAGTTCAAGTAAGTCTGGTTCAGTTGCTATTGAATAGTCCTTTGTAAGCTATTTTCTAAAATGTATTTATTAGTGGAGTACTGAGGTGCGCATTTATAGCTACATTTGTTACAGGTGGAACTGAATAAGGAATGTTACCTACACTGGGGAGAAAAAAAGATGATTAAAATAAAAGAAAACTTGAACAAAACAGTTCTAATATAGTTTTAAGTAGAGTGACAGATTAAACATTAACTTCCATCGTGTGATTATGAGAGATGCCTTCCTTTTGTAGCCCTAAAATATTTAATGACAACAGATTTTGTGTTTTGCAAGAATTCAAGTTATATGTGCTCTTTTCTGCTGCTGCATACATGGCTGTGCGTATTCTGTCTGAATAGCTCGTGGGAATCAGTATTTTGGGACCTTTTGAATGTTAAAATATTTGCAGATTCTGAGTCCTTTTAGTAAAGTAAATTTCTGATTGCCTACAAAAGGTAGGTTAACTGAGCTTGTTTGATTAATTTCAAAGACAAAGGGAAATGAAAAGTTGGTTAATGTGTGCTTGGTTTTAGAAACAAACCGTTGTAATTGAGAGCTTTTTTACCTATCTGTGCATTTGTTGCGTTTGTTTAGTTTGTACTATGGATGAGACTTGGCTGTCTTAAATTTCTCAGACTGATTAACTTGATGAAAAGGAGTCTTTCCAGTATTCTGTCACTTGTAAAGCATTTACTAACAATACGTAAAGATAAAAAGTCCGTTTCTGAAAGTCAACTGGGAGTCAATAAGAAGAAAAGTAGTCATGGGGTTTTTAATTCTGTAGTGGAGAGCTGAGTGGAGAAGTAAGCAAGCTTTGGAGACATACTCAAAGCCTAGAAACAGTTAATATAATTGTTACTCAGATCAGATACATGATGAATTAACTCTTCTGTTGTTTTAACATTCTTTAATTGCTAATCTTTACACTTTTTGAATTGAGCTGCAGTGCATCTCTATTCAGTAAAATGCTGTACTGTGTGGTTTTGTTTGATGAAACAGTACCCGTTTTTAGGATGTAGCTCAGAGGATGAAGTGCTAAATTGTATTTTGCAAAGTGTTTTTATAAAGAGACTTCTTAAAATGATCTTTGTTTTAACATAAGTTAACAGCCATGTCTTTAACATGCCATTTTTTTTCCTTCCCATTTTGGATATTCAGACAGCAGCACTGAGAGCAGTAGGCAACATAGTAACTGGTACTGATGAACAGACACAAGTTGTTCTCAATTGTGATGTTTTGTCTTATTTCCCAAATCTCCTGACGCATCCAAAAGAGAAGATAAACAAGGTATGATTTGTTTCCTCCTAACTTAATCTTTTTGTTTAAGAAATAAAGCATTAGTCTGTAGAATATTACAGAAGAATTTCTTACAGCTATTACTTCCGGCATGTGACCCATTTTGGATAAAGATGCGCCTTTGAGGCTGGTACTTAATTAGGGCTAAAGCTGAACAGCCATAGTGAGGATCCATACGTTGATGTTGATGCCTAGTGCTTTTTGGGAGGACTGATGGTTTTTGCTTTGGAGTGTGATACTTTTTTTTTTTCATTTGCAAAGTGAGTAACTGGCTAACTTGCATTATAGTTTTTCATAACTCAAGAGTGTTACTTTTGGTTGAGTCCAGTAAGTTGAGTAGGACTCATCCAATTTTTCCAATCCACCTTTTCATAGTGGAGTTTGTTCTCTTGTCCATCTTCACTTTCAAGAAATTAGGGAGTACCACTGTCCTTCTCTGAAAGCTGTTCCTGCGTTTCCTCTCCTTCCTTTTGACGTAGGTGACTTTGCTGCTGCAAGGACCGGATGGAATAGGAGGAGTTAGATGAAAAAAAGTGATCAGTGCCCTCTTTTCCAGAGCTGTATTTCATGTTACTTGCTTTTTTTTTTTTTAATCATTGTGCTGTCTTCCACTGCAAATGTGGGGCTGGCTGAGGAGGAGGCTGTCCTTGTTCAGCTTATGTGGTTCTCCCACTTAGTGTACCATTGAGGGGAAATCTATTTGTGAGGAATCTGTTTCCTCAGGCTCTGTCAACTGTCAAGAGCTCTGAAGAAGTTATCATTGATAGTTCAAACTGCTGTGATTTTTTTCACCTGCTCTTCCAACTCTTACAAAAGAATGATGAAGAACTCTTTTTGAATGCCAAGAAAGGAATTATTTTTGTATAAGGTGAATCTAGAAATGCTTTGAGTTTTAAGTGTATGTTGTGAGGGGCAAATACAACTAAATGCGAAGTACATGTCCCTGAAAAATTGAATTGTTTATGCTTTTTTCCTGCAGTACTTCATAATTGACTGCTTGCCATATCTGTTTGTCTTTTACTTAAGATAGGAGCCTTTTTAAGATTTCATAGATTTCATAGATTTCTA